TGTTTCGCAAAAACCTAATGTGTGACTCACAATACCGTATGTCTCGCTAATACCTGTTCACACACATAAAATAAATACTATACTAATACTGCTGCACCTGAAAAGGGATTGGGTACTTTTATTTATTAAACACTCAACACATATAATACTATGAATTCAAATTAATCACACTGAATTATAGCAACTCCAAGTAAAGTGTAACAAGTAACTACTAAAATAGCTTGCAAAAGCACAAGTCAGTAAAGACTAAAGTTCCAAGTTAACTATCAACTCAAGTATGAAAAGTACAACTGTCCAACCACAATAGATCAACTAAGTGTCAGGTAGTACCAAACAGTAAAGTAGGAAAACGGATTAGTAAACTAAACTGTAACTGAATAGGTAGGTATCACAATCTCAAAATACAAACAATCATTCACAGACACACACACACAATTATACAAAGTGCCTAACCTAATCAAATCCCTATTTATCAAACAAAGTTTAAGTTTAATAAATAAAAGAAAAAAAATTTTTAAAAATGTTTACTACTATGTAAACAATAAACCTATATACAAGTACACATGTACTGAGACACAAAGTACACTTATGTCAAGGTCACACAAATATATACAAGTAGAATAATATGATACACAAAATTAATTTACACAACACAAAGACAACACAATGTTAAACACAAATATTTACTAACACATGTAATACAAATACAAGACACACACACAATATACTATGAAATGTGTTTCTTGACTGTAAACGACAACAAAGTATGTATCAGCTTTCTATTTCACTGCCTAATACTATGTTGAATATCAACAAGTCAAAGAACACTAAACATGCAAACAAACAAATGAAATTCTGTGAGCTTACTGTATAAATCAAATTATATTACTATATATTGCTCAATGCAATGTCAAGTCAACCAAATATACAGGTATAATACAGTAAAAAAGCAAATGCTATGTCTACAAATGCAGTTTTCAATTTTGGATTATGTTTCAAGTTATTACTACATGTACTTTCACACAATATATACTATGTCAACACAAATATGTAGGGGGACATATATTTTCACCAAATAGGTATGTCTTTCAATCACAAATAATAAATACACAATGCAAAAGCATAAAAGTTCACAACATCACTGCAAAACTGTGTTGATTTTCTTATTTGTCCATGTGAAACAATCACTTCCGGTTCACGGTTCATTCCAGGTCAGCTTCTGTGAGGCTCTAAACGATAAACCTTTGTGGGCGCCAAATGTAACGGGGTATTTTCTAGGTCAATACAACTAGACAGCACAGACATTACAAGTAAACAACATAGAACACAATGCTTACCATGTATATGGTACATAGGTAAGTGTAGTAATTGGAAACATCACAGTGCTGTGTGTATAAATCTGAGCACTACTCATACATGTCATATGAAAAGGTATTAATCCATATCCTGAATATAAGGATATTGAAAATCCAAGAATATGGAGTATAATATATATAAGAAATCAATTTATCAAACAGGTTATTTTTCACCACTGCATTTCAATATGTCTGCAGTATTAATCTCCAGAAACAAAGAAAACCTATAGTAAGGCCTAAGGCCTAAAGATTGACCAATCAAAAGGTTAGAATTTTCCCTCCAAAATGATATGACAGAAAAGAGGTTCACCAAAGGATAAAGAGAATAATACTAGAACAATAGTACTAGAAATAGAAACAATGAGTAACTAAACTATCAAACATTGCAATAAAATTAATAATCAAAAATATCATATTTAATATATATCAATCAAATTTGACTCTGCCACAAAACTTCCACGTTTGCCTTCCTCTGCATAGCTCTAATTCTTTAAGCTATGATGGCTACAGGGTATACTATTTTGAGCACAACATATAAAGATGAAAAATTAAATAAACACTCAAGCTTATTTCATTGGGTGTGTATAAGAATGAAATATGTATAACTATTTCATTTGTTTGATCGTATTTGTCATGGGATTTTGTGGTATCAGTTTTCAGTAGATCTATTTTGTAAACTGTAGTAAAATTCTGAACACTAAAAAAATATTGTATTTCCATTTCATAATACCCCAATTGCATTTTTTGTTTAACAAATTCCATAATTTTCTTAATACTTTATTTTTGTCTCTGAGTTAATTCGTCTAAGGTATTTCCCGAAGCTTGCATATATATTTTGCAATGTTAGCTGGTCTGAAAGATCTGAAGTGGGCAATATCCAAGATAATATATATGTAAAATTTATAATATTTCGAAAGGGGATTTGTAACATGGGTTTCAAAACACAGAATGAGGGCTCGAAATTAGAAAAATTTGATGAACATCAAACAGCTTCTGCATATATGGTAGTGGGTCATTGATATAGACAAAATGATAAGTAAGAGATTTATAATTACGATGATATGACTGTGTCTACGCCAATGAGAAAAGTTGAAAATATTCATCACATTCAACGAACATTGTTGTTAATGTCTTATCTGCGACCGTTTGTTTAGTTTAGTTTTGCCTTTCGTTTCACTGACATACACCAACCCGAAAAATTAACATTCTAATTCGGAAACAAGATTAGTCGATTTCTAATTCAGATCATTGTAACTCCCGGTAGTATTTCCTGACCCATATGGATAATGATAGCCTTTTTATAATTTTCACCACTTTCTAACACTGCCCAAAAACCTATATACACAGTTAACTGAAGCACTTTCATTATAATATTCAGAAATGAAATTTAAATATGTATCATGACCGTTTACTTTTTTTGCTATCTTTATAAAACTTAGGCCACTAGTGCTTTTAGGTCTTTTATCATGCAGTAAATACAATATTTAAAAATATTATCAAAAATTCATTTTCACCTGTATGTAAAACTATTTCATACTTTTCTACACTTGATTCATCCCTCAGCTTGGAAAAGTATGTTCAGTAGATACTGTATTTTTTTTGTCAAATCACAGTGATCAGATACATTGTCTTAAGTACACAAAAGAGCAACATGAACTCTGCAGGAATGTAAATACTACCGTGCCACCTATATTCAGCTGTGTAAGTCAAATGACTGGTGAATAAGGCATCAAAATTTAACAGGTTTTGCAGATTTTGACACAGTGTTTCTAAAGTAAAATATGTCTTATAGCTGAATTGAGCATAGCCTTTGTTTGTGGCATCTTGATATAATGAGACACCAGATATTTCAGACGACAAATTGTTCTTGGTGACGACTGTGTCTGACATTTTTAATCAAGATTACATCCGAATCAGTACCCGTTGTGAAAATCGTAAATTCAGCTGTGTGTACATCCCAGGGAAGATGCCATCCTCTTAACTTAATTTTTTTCAATTGATATAGATTTATCGTTGTACGGAGTAATGAAGTGTTCGTTTGACATATCGTACATAAGTATTTTACCTGAATTGCAAACTTCCCAAACACTATATCCATAGTCGTAACGAAAAAAGAGGAAAAAGTAACTACGTGGGCAATTCAAACTCATAAGTCGATATAAACTGACAACACCATGCTATAAATCAAAATACAAAGAAAAAACGAACAAGTTAAGAAAACACAACATAGAAAACTAAAGATTAAGTAAATACAACCCCACTACAAACAGAGGGTAATCGCAGAAAAGAAGAATGAAATGAAAAAACAAATGAAGATTTATGTTATTGTTTCTGAACGAATGTGTGCTTTTTGTAGTTCGGTACTTTTGTTATTCTTGTTTGCTCACTCACTATATCAGACTGCTTTGGGATTTCATTCTTATAATATAAAAATGATAAGGGATTAAGGTGATTTTGAGATTTTTTTTATTTGTAATGCAGTCAAAATCCCACTTGCGCACCGATTGAAAAATATTACGTGAAAGTTCAAATCTAGAGTATGGTTTCAATATAGAAGCACCGGCTACTGTGCAGATGATATCCTCTGAGACAGATAATCAAATAGCATCAGTTTTTTCGTGATATTTATTTTTTTTTTTTTAAACATTTGATACAATTGGTTTTGGTGCGTTCAATACGTATTTCTGAAATAACCTTCATAAGGTCAAAAATGTCATAGATATAAGGTCTAAATGAAGAACGAAATTGGTATTTTCGGTACAAATAAAAATAAAAATTCAAACTCCTTTAGAGCAAAACACTCTGGGCACATGAACAGAAAAATAAACCTTTGATGGAAAGGTAAGAAATAAAAGGTTCATTGTAAACGGAATTGAATCATCGAAATATCTATAAACAAAAAAATAAGATTTTCGGTTTAAATCATTGTAATATTTCACTAGTATTTAATACACTCTAGTAATGACTTTAACTAAAAGTATTTCTATGTTTTAAAGCACAGGAAATTGAAAAGTAAGTAACACATCTATATCAAATTACATTTAGTTTTAACAATAATTATTCAAAAAAATTAGATTAAAATGAAAATCATTTGGTAACAGTATAAGCCTTTGTAATCCCTTCTCACATTTCATTTACTCTTTTTTAAGGTAAATGATTGCTTTCATATAAATTCTTTAAAAAAACGAAGAGTTTCTCAATGACAATTTCAAAGACATAAATATCCAATCAGCGAAAGAATAACATTTCGCGGGGATGTGTCTAATGTCGAATTAGATTGCACATGAACTATTTTCAAATAAAAAACGAAGCGTACTACGACCACTTTCTTATATATCAATTTAATGTGATCTGAAAGTTTATTCGGAAACCGATTGATACAAAATATAACATTTACATTGATTAAGCTGTTTGATTTAAAAGGGGATGTTAGAAAAAGGCGCATTAATGCTATTATGTTGCTTCAGTTTGATTTTCTTTCCTTGGTTGGTGGGTACACCTGTCCTGAAAGGAGAAAATCAAGTACATTTGAAAGATTGGTTCATCGATGAACCTATTTTTCAACTAGGTCATGGAAGTCTTACTGCATGCACATCGCATTGTGTTATGATAGATGAGTCAATGTCTATGTTTTACAATGGAGCTGCGCAAAAGTGCATTTGCATTAACACTGGATACATAAAGAGACCTTCAGCATTAGGACAAAGTGCTGCTGGGTGGAACTATTATCTAATTTTAGACGGTAAGAAACGTTTGTTAAATAAGGTATATAAGCATTAAGTATCTGAATAAGTGTTAGTGTTACTTGTCGACATACTTATACTCGGCTGTACTGTATACAATCATTTAAATAAGACAAAAATATAGCTATTACAATGGAATTGACATAAGAAAAGTTGCCAAAAAAGACGATAGTAGAAAGGAAGGCAAAGCATAAATGGAATTTATTATTCAGATAAAGTCCTTTTGTTATGCTGCTTCAAACGTGATATATTGAAGACTTAATACAAATGTTCAGACAAATTTATATAACTGACTATACGTAATAAGCTGTCAGCATTGTTGAAGGTTGTACGATGACCTATAGTTGCTCATAGCTGCTCAAATAGAATAATGTGGAAAAACGACTGAAATCGACACCATTACGAATTGCTTGACCGATACACCATGTCTATGTATTCACTTACTAGAGCCATGATGTCCCTGCCTTTGATCTTCAGATACCAAATAGTGGTTTAATCTGTCCTATTATCTATTGTGTTCTATTCCCGATTGTAACATTTTGACTGAGCGTGGATTCGCATACAGAACTGCAGAACTAACTAACACTACCAAATGTGGTTGTACTCGCACAACAATATAGAAATAAGTGGATGTCATATAATTTCCCAAGAGATAACTATCTTTAAGAGTCTGAATGACGTGGATATAAATATAAGCGACAAAAATTCCCATTTCTCTGCAATAATATACCCATTTATCGATCGTATTGCGTTAACATATCTCAGCTAAACGTTACGCTCGTGCATATTCATATTATACGGCCTTAGCGTATATAAAATTTAACATTACAAAACTAAAACCCATTTGTATGAAAAGATACAATTGTATAATAAGGTGAAACTCCGGTAATAACACTTATCTAAGAAATTGATTTAGTCGTTTTGTATTCCAAATATTTACCTTCTATACACACCTAAAACTGCTCATCGAACTTATAATTATTTTCTTCTCAGTATCAATTATTTAATTATTGAAAATAAAATTCATATACTACTTAACAAGATTAAATAAAATCAATATGCTTTTGATTAACTATGATTTAAACATGGAGATATAACTTTCATAAATCCAAGACTGCTATATTCAAACCTAGCATGTAAAATATTTCCTAAAGGGGGAATACAAATAACCGCTCCTGGCTTCCTCAACATCTACAACTGTTCTATGTCATCACCAGAGACATACTTTCAGTTTTAATGAGAAGGTAACACTGATCCCAACTAAATATCCTTTATTTGTGTACATTTGTATGGACAGACAGTAACTATCAAAATACACAGACAACTAAAACGCTACAAACATGGACCCAACCTTACATCTGGATTGACCTTATGTACTCCGGAAGGATAAACAGTTTTATTGTTGTCCTAACTTTGACTATAATCAGCGATGGATCAGTAGTCTACAATAAAGTTTTTGAGGGAAAAATATTTGCAAACAACAATTGTATTAATTTTGCTAGTAAACATGTCTCTTTTATGGAAAACATTATAATTTTTCGTCTCATTGCAGTATTTTCCTGATTAAATTTGGATACTGTAAATTGAAAAACCATTGTAATGTTTATATTGATGAAAACAATGAGACAGTATCAGGTTCGCATTCATAATTTCAGTAGTAATTTTCCTTCATAAAATGTTTGCAATCGCAATAATTAAATTGCGCATATTTACCAGTAGTCAATGATTCGCAATTATAAATGCACGCATTATTTCTGAATTTACAGTAACCTGAACTTTTTATTTGTTTTATAAAACTAGTGTTTAAATTAAGGAGACCGTATAAACACGTAAATGTGTAAAACATATTGTGTATTTTCCTTTTTTAGAACGCTGTTCCAGAGAATCTGGCTATGTGTACAGCAAAATATTTAACAGTTGCTACAAGCTCCACCCGGAAAACGCTTCCTTATCATATGCTGATTATAGTCCTATCTGTGAAAATGAAGGGGGTGAACTTATGAAAATTGATTCAGAGAAGAAACAACAACATATTGCAGATTTTCTTGGTTTGTATTTCTTAAAAAGAAAACTTGTTTCAATCTCGTTTTTTTTCCACCCGTTTGAAAATATTTTGTCTTCAAACCATACATCGATTCCCACCTTCGAGACCATGCAGTAATTGAATCGACTTCCCTCAAATCTATCACACCGTCTCTTATCAGTTCGACATAAAAAAAAAAGATTTATAGTGTTGAAATTTCAAAATCTTAGACTTTTTCTAGTTATTGGTTATAAAACCCAAAAGTATATTTTTTAAAACTCATGTTATGTATCTTTTCTATAAGTTTCATATTTATGCTTTGATATACGTAGACTTTCTCAATTCTCAATTTTATTATTTATAAAACTAATAGTTTAATTCTTATCAATCCTAACATTTTATTTCATAATATCTATAACTAGCTTTAGATTATTATTAATCGGATTAAAATCAGGTTTTTTTTCATAAATAATGATTCGAAATATTTTTATCTTCTCTATTACGTTTTGTCTTGGTCTGTATCCACAATATTAAATAACTATTTATACATATGAATTTTACCGCAAATACAACTGAGGAATGTAAAAATGATCCTAAAATATAATATTGTCTGAAGTTTAACCACTATCCCTCTCATAACTCCAGTATTTAAAAAAATGTGTGTTGTTTTTATTTTGTTTCTAATAAACGAGTTAACTATTGTAACAACTATTGGCAATCTGACACACGATTAAAACTGACTGAACAAAAATAATTATCAAACAGAAATAGCATTAACGGAATCAATTTCACTACTTAATATTAACATTAATATTTTCAAATATAAGTCATTTTATACATAGTTCCTTGTCTACTTCTACTGTTTTGAAAAAAGAAAAAAAAACGAATGTAATACTAAACATTTCCTTCTTAAATATTAAATCAGTTTTGACGTCCGAATGACAAATAAATAGTCAATATTCTGTTTGATGTATATAAATAGACTTATGTACATAAGATCCCATTAAAGTGTGGAACATAAGAGATGACTGTAGTTTTTCGTCAAAGATAAATTTGCTGTAAATTAACCTTAAGGGAAACAGATGCGTTAATTGCAAAATGGAGCGAGACAGGATACATCGACAAAGAATGTGTCTCCTGATATGAATGCATCATTCAATATAATAAGAACAATAAATCAAGAACAAAACAAAACACAAAACAAATAAAATTTGTAAATTACTGATGTCGTTGTTTTAATTTTCTAGATCAGTTCGAAATTACTACATGGATTATGTTCCAAGGATATCATCGAACAGCAGAGTTACATTGGTACTATAACGATGGGTCAATTATGTCTTATTTTAATTGGCACCCCACTCAGCCTGAAAATACTTTATATCGCGTTGAAGAAACCATTGGTATGAAAAGATATGATGGCTATAAATGGCATGATATATGGTTATACTTTAAAGGAGCATTCTTGTGTGAAAGAAGAATCTTGGAATATTGATGATTTTTGTATTCAAACAGGACTATATGTAGACAAGTTCCACTGTGTTGTCATATTCCATGAAGACAGAATTCCTTCATTTCATGCTCTTTGGTTGTGTCAACATGGAATACAAGTTTTAATAGTTTTCCATCCATCGATATATATGTACCATGAAAGAACTATTTATATTCTTAAAACAATAGATGACATATCAGACACGTTCGAAAGGCTACAATTTTGATTTAAACAAGTGAAAACGTTCACAATTCAAACATACACATCGAATAACTTTACAGAAGATTTATTTGCATACCGAAGAACTCCTACAAATGATTTTAAATCCCAGATTCGCTCAAAATACAACGTTTGTGCAGTCACGCAAGTTTACCTTATACTTTGTTGGGATTAGAACATGGATGCGTTAAAATAAAACCAGAAAGAAGAGCGAATAAGCTATTAGCGTGGACATCGTCATATCAAAATAAACTAACAAATCAAAAATATATATATTACAAAATACGTTGTATATCAATTGTTCATAAGAAATCATCTTTTTAGTGGATGTCCATGTTATTTAACCTGATGTTTAATTAAAAATAATACAGAGATGCAAATGTAGCTTTTGTTAGATTAAATCAGCTTAAATGTAAAACTTTCACTTTAATGTTGCTATTACACAGGGGTGTGCATAGATCAATATAACTGGTCGTTAGTTCGACAACCATTCATAAGTGACTAGGTGCATATGAAACGTTCTGAAAATATTCACTACTAATTGTAATTGCTCAATTCTTGTCTAAATTATTATTACAGTCTTTCATCAGTATTAACAAACTGAGATTTTTCGGTATACGCCAATGAAGCAGCAACCCAACTACCCAAAACGTATCTAGAGCTGAATTCATCAATTGCAATTTACCAAAGAACACTTTTTTTTTTGTATAAACTATACCCGTACATGTATTATAAAGTAGAATGGCACTAGAGTTGTAAATGGCTTTTGACGACTATGTGCCCATTTTAGCATGACAATACAATGCCTAATCAAAGTCAGGATAAGCATGTGGTGTAATACATACTGCTTCGTGTTTCGTCTACATAAGACCCATCGAAGATACAAGGTTTATAATTTGGTTCGCCAGCTGCGCGTTTTGTCTACACGAGACTCATCAATGACGTTAAAATCATAACAGCTGGAAGGCCGAATCAATTACGTAGTTGAAGAGCATTTAAAACAGAAAAGTACAAGAAATTAGCAAATAATGCTAGAAGAAATTACCCCTATAGATGTTACATTTGTTATAACTTAATCAAAATCAAACTTTATATATAAAAGGTTACTTATTTAGAAAGCTATTACTTATATAATTCTAAATGTGACAAATTAAACACTTAATTTCTTCTCTAGGTGTGATACCACCATTGTTTTTCCTCTATTAGTCTTTGTTAAAAAAAATGTGCAGAATTTTTCTTTATTCAAATAAAGAAATACTTGGCATGAGTAGAGTTTTATCTTGTCTACAGTACTACCAGAACTACAGACAAAATTTCACATAACATTTCATTGCATACAATATATTAACCATCACTGGAAGTTAACCAACCAAATTTTCACACCTTTTTTTCCTGTGTAACCATGTAACCTCAAGATTCCAAAATATTCTATAGAAACACCAAATAAAAAAGAATGGTGCTTTGAAACACCCAAGGTATATGTTTATGACTCAGAAATTTTTTACTGCAATGAAAGGTAGGATTAATTTCCTACAACTGTCAAATTAAAGGGAATATTTTCTTTCGAACCTTTTTCGTATGCAACGGGATGTGACGTACTAGAATTTGGTGGTATTACACCTGAAGAAGGTTTTTTTTGTTGAATAAACTGAATGTGATTTTTTTTTCCTTTGTAATACTGGTTATTTCAAGCATTACTGTCAAGTTTTGTCATAATCAGTTCAATAGTTTGAGAAAAATCTAGTATAATGTAAAACGACATCTACAGCGATTCGAGCAAAATTTCTTCGAAAAACACAAATCAAGCCGCATCATGATAGAATATAGTGTGGACCAATAAATGATTACATATTTATCTCATCTGCCCACAAACAGTTGAATATGATACAAAAGATGATTCTAGGATGATAAATACCACTAATGGATCTCATTGTTTTCATTATAAGGTCCCTTTTTGTCCATTTATACCTCTCATTTCCTCAAAATTTCAACTTTTTAGGCCAATAAATCAAAATGCGGGGTTAATTTCACACATTTATGAACGAAATGTGATAATAAATGAGTAATTGAAGTATTCAAGCTGATTGAACTATACATATAAAATTTAACTGACTTCATAGAGGTTTCAATATGTCTTTACGTAAAATGTAAATTTACGCCGCGCTCCAGAGAGGGACATAAAAAGCTTACCCTTTAGTGAATAATGTGTTGTTACTGCTTCAAAATAATTTTATTTACTTATAACTGTATATATATTAAAGTATTAATTAGGAAAAGTTTTCTATTATAGCAAAATGTAAGAAATAAGGAGAAAAAGTCAGAAAAAGCTCCCCAAAACACTAAGTATGGCTTGCTCTGTCTACTAATATTCATGGTAGAGTCCTATTTTAAGGCAATTTTCTCTTAAAATATGTTTTTGAAACTCAATCCACTCAGAATATTTCATTTTTGTAATATTTCACTTAAATAGCATGAAATTTTAACAAATGAGAGTACATACAAGGTCAAAGGTACATGTGCATCTCATAGTAGGTGTAATACCACTATTTTTTCCCCTATTAGTCTTTGTTAAATTTGTACTTTTCAAAAAATTGTGCAGAATTTATCTTTGTTTCAAATAATGAAATACTTGGTATGAGTAAAGTTTTATCCTGTCCAGTACTACAGACAAAATTTCACATAACATTTCGTTGCATATAAGATAATAACCATCACTAGAAGTTAACCAATCAAATTTTCACCCCTTTTTTTTCCTGTGTACAAGCTTTAGTAAACATGAAACCTCAAGTTTCCAAAATATTCTATAGAAACACCAAATAAAAAAAGAATGGTGCTTTGAAACACCCAAGGTATATGTTTATGACTCAGAAATTTTTTACTGCAATGAAAGGTAGGAGAGGTTAAGATACAGATGTATGTGTAACTAATAAAGATGATCAATGTAATAAAAGATAATGAAAACATGCAAATAGCTATCAGATTTATAGCTTTTAAATTAATCCTACCTTTCATTGCAGTAAAAAATTTCTGAGTCATAAACATATACCTTGGGTGTTTCAAATTTCTTTTAAAGCTGTATTGTTGGCTTATTTAATTATCTCCATATGAAAGCTTTATATCCCAGTTACAGCTGATATTTACAATTCATTTGTCGTACCTTAACATGTTCGGACGCATGAAATTATTAAACGTGTTGTTTTCAATTTTTTACATCACTGGGTCGATACCTCTGCTGGTGGACTAACAGTCCCCGAGGGTATCATCAGCTCAGTAGTCAGTACATCGGTACTGACATGATTTATTACAAACCTTTCTAAAATTGTCCGTTGTTAAATTTTGAAATTATAAAGAAACTAAGGTTTCAACTTCCTCAGGCAAAGTTGACCTTAGATGAATTTGGCTATTTGTTTTAGGTTTTTTTGTCATATAGCTCTTCAACTGTTTCGGTACTTATACTTCCCTCGGATTTCAAATGTTTGGCTTTTAGCGTTCCTGGTGAAGGTAAATCCAGAAAAGCGCTTCGGCGCATGAAATTATTAAACGTGTTGTTTTCAATATTTTATATATTGTGCAAATTGTTAAATGTACTTTTACATTTTGTCGATGGCTTGTATTGCTAAAATATACAACAAACTTAAGCTAAAAAGAAAAGTATTTTTTTCTGACTTAGAAAAATATATATCAATCGGATCCGGCAATATTTATTTGAAAAAAAAACTTAGTTGAACTTTGGTTAATAGTTGTCTAGTTGGCAATCATACCACATCTCCATATTTTTATATTATATTATTACACACAGCTGGATTTTGCATTTTGTTGTGCATTAGGTGTTATGGTTATTACTGTGATCGCAGTTACAAATCTTATCATTACTTTTGTCACTTGTGAGAAAGTCGTGCTGGTTCATTAACAAGGTTAAAGCTAAAACCTGTTAATAACAATGCAGGAAAAGATGATTATCTGATAAAATTAACCAACAATGAAACAAGTAGCTACCAAGTTGAAGAACTCATATTTTAGATATGTTGACTGACACAAGTTATGGGCGCCAGTATGGAAAGTAAATGCAGCCCAGAAAAGTGTTATATTAGAGCCTTCAAAGTTATCAATTAAATGATTGGTACATATAAGTATAACCTTAAGATTTTGCATTGCGATAGATTTAGAGATCAGAAATTGCATTTTGCATAAGGAAATAATTTAAGCTTTGTGTTAACATAATTAAAAACTACTACGAGTTCAAAACGTAAGATGTTTGTTGAGTAGTGACAACAGAAATTAAGAAACTAAGATTTTTGAATGGAGCCCTAATTTGCAAGACATTTATCAACATGTAGCGTTAAACTAATTGAGTGTTGATAAGTTGTAGTTTATCTCTGTATAGAGAGCCGTTTCTTAAGGACCGAGAGCTGGCAGTGGCGTAGTAATTGTACGTATATTTTTTTAAACAGCTGCTGGTCGAATTTCTGTACGCACTCTTTTTTTTTCGGGATAAGAGTTTTGACAGTAAAAATGTAACAAATATTCAGAAGTAGCTACATCATCTGTATCGTATTTTCGAGAGAAAATGTTTTGCTCCATTTAAAGATAAGAGTTTTTTTTTCATTAAACTAAAATTGCACTCGAAATTAAACAAGCGGATCCTAATAGCCTGGATCTTTCGCCTGTGCAGAACATA